TCCAGAGGGAAGGGACAGTGGTGAAGGGATTATTAGGAGGTATGAATTATTAATTTATTTAAACGAAACATTGTATGTGTGTCAAACGAACCGTATAAACCGGTGTTACTGTAAAGGTGTTGGTGTCAATTGATTCTTATTATAATTACTTAATGTGAACGGGCTTATTTATTTGATTCTTTCTAGCTCCTTTTTTTTGTTTATTATAATTTGAATTTAAATACTCCATGTAATATTCAAATATGTTTAAACCAAATTTATATGTTTACGAGACTACGTGAGTAATATCGAAATCCACATTATTCAAAGTCAACCATAGTATCTTTTGTAGGAAACATGACACTGCAATATTTGTTCGTATATACTACCTCCGTCCCACTCTTTTTGTTCAGATTTGACTTTTAGAACTGTTCATCTAAGCACTTTGACTCATCAAATTCTTTCAATGTGTAAGTCTAAAAATAGTCATGTGTGATTTTGTTTGATTTGTCTTAATATATAGATTATTAATATATAATTTTTATAATTTTTTAATATACAAATTACAAGATAAACTGGATTAAAGAAGTGCATTGGATGGTGTGCAAAAATGAAAGTGGACAAAAAGAGTGGGACAGAGGGAGTATGTCACTAAATTATGTGACAAATACCAAATGCCAGTAATTAAAAAGATATTTTATTTCATACTCAATATTACCTCCGTCCCATTATATTTGTTCAGTTTGACTTTTTCGAGTCAAATTGGACAAACTTTGAACTTCAATTACTCTAAATTTATATTGCATGTTAGCATAATAAAATACAATTTTGAAAGTTCTCAATACGATAAATTTAATAAAGTTATTTTTATGTTAAAATACATTACGATTTTTATTTAATTGAAGCTCAAATTATCCAGTTTAACTCAAAAACGTCAAACTGGACAAATATGGAGTACATTAAATACTCTTTTATCATAGACTTCATAGTATAGGCCTAAAATTGTTAAATGGGCAGGGCCTCACAAAAACAAATGGACGGGCCTGTTATGAGTTTAAACCTTAAACCGTTTATAAAGATCATTTATGGATAATGGGAGTAAAGTTTAGTTTGGTTTTGGTTTTGGGTATTTAATTAATGGTTTGCACAAATTTAGTTAGCTGGGCATGTTTACAGTGTACTAGTACAAAGTTTCAATTTTTAAATGACTTCAAAACTTAATAAATTTAGAATTTACAAAATTTTCAACTTGCAACTCTACAATTGTACGTGATTTTCAACTGATTGTTAAGCAATTAATAATGTTCTAAATGTGTAATTCAAAAAAATGAAATTGAAATGAAGGGGTTGACCAACTCTCTCAAGTAGGGATAATCTTCCAATCTCAATCCTAGCCAACATAGTCAACCAATCTAGAGGCCAGAATCATTAAGAATGCAATATAATGAAAGAAATAAAAATACATCTTGTACATTAGATGTAAGATCTGAGCACTAGAAAATTTAAAAAAAAAACTGAAAAAATTTGAAAAAACGTGGTGACATTATAATAAATAAATTGAGCTTTACTCCCAATGCCGAAAAACGCACTACCACAACGTAAAAATGCATCGTGATGACATAAATATGCACCATTTTCACGATAATCTCTATTCTCGCAGTAAGGACAAATGCATCGCGAAGGTATAAATCTGCTTGAACAACTGGTTCAACCAGTGAACCAGTATCTTGACTGATTCGATCACCGGTACAGTTCTGAAAACTACTACGTATGATCTAAACTCTATTTTCCAGAATTTAAACTTTAATTTCCAATTTATAAGATTTTAAGATTTAAATGAACCCTTCATTTACGATTAGGAGTGGCTAATGACATGAGGCAGCGTAGTGATGACGTCTGCGCGCGCGGGGGCCAGAGGAATAATATTGCGGCTTGTCACAAGTTCACTTCTCCCCCCTATAAAAAAAGACAAATCCCATCTGACCAAATTGCCCATTTCCTCAAACCCCACCCCCAATCCTTCTTCACTTCCTCTTTCCTTTTGCGTTCCCACCACTCCACCTCCGGCCGCCGCCGCCGCCGCCACTCCGATGACCCATCAGTCCCTTCCGTCCCCGTCTCCGGCCGGCGGCAGGAACGCATCCCCGGCCGACGCCGCAGGCGCGCCTCCGCAGCGGATATCCGCCATTCTCACCCCCTGCGCCGCCTGCAAGATCCTCCGCCGGCGATGCGGGGAAAGGTGCGTGTTGGCTCCGTACTTTCCCCCCACCGACCCGCTCAAGTTCACCATTGCCCATAGAGTCTTTGGAGCTAGCAACATCATCAAAATGCTACAGGTATATATATATATATACAGAGTATAAAATCTTTTCTTAAACATACAATTACAATTTTGAGTTTTTGGATTATTGAGTTGATTCCTTAATATGACAACGGAGTTTAATTTTGTTGACCCTGACACGACAACGTCAACCTGACTCAATTTTAAAAATGCAATATTGACGTTCGATTCGTAGGTAAGTTGAAGTCTTGAAGACGATGTGTCAGAATACGAAATCTTTTCAGCACTAAAAATCACGCATTTTTTTCGGGAGCCTTGTTACAAAAATTGAGTTGTGGTCGCATGACTGCATGGTCTCGTGCTCTAGAAACCATCTCTTGCAGGAAAAAATGCATGATAATATTCGCGTAAAAGTTAAATGAGATGATTAAATATCTAAGTACTCCCTCCATTTTGAATAAAATGGCAAGGGCCAAGGGGACATTAATTTAAGAAGCACGAAATTAGGGAGAATAGAGACAAAGTGAAATGGGAAACTTTAATTTGCTTTAGGAAAATGTTACTCATAGACTCATAGTATTCATTGAATGAAAGTGAAAAAGGTAGAGATTATTAAAGGAAGAAAAAGTAAAACTTGCCCCCCCTCTCCATTATGCTATTTTTTTTCTCAATTACTCCGTAATTTATTAGTCCGTTTATTTAGGCGGCAGGTTGAATTGAAGCCTCACGCCACACCTATGTAGTGATGGGTCATGGTGAGACATAATTATATCATAATTAATTAAATAAATACTTTTGCTTCTTAATTATTTAGATCCAACACAAAAAAGAAAATCTTATTTTTCTTCGGCTTAAAAAAATCACTTTCCTTTTATACTTCGTTTAGTTGGTTAGAAAAAGATAGGAAAGAAAACTAAGGGTGAGAAAAATATAATTTTCAAGACATTTTCTTATGTTTGGTTATAATAGAAAATTTTCTCTGCCAAAACGGTGAGAAAATTCGGGTGATGGTGAGAAAACTAAATTGGATAACTTCTCTGTTTTCTATCTTCTCTCTGCTCCGCCTCTTCATCTTCTACATCTCTACCATCTTCTCCATTCCAGAGCTTCCGTCCAACAATTTTCTCTTATAAAATGAAAACTTTCTCTTAAACTTCATAAAAATTTATAAAAAAATTTTATAAAAATTTCTCTGCTCAACCTCCGCTTCATACTTTTCCTTAACATATTCCAACAATTTTCTCTTGAATTTCATAAAAATTAAGTACGAAAAATTAGGATGAGACGAGATAATATTAGAGGTCTATAATTAGAAGATTGTATTATATTATGATGACTAGTAATTAACCTTAACTACATCATATTATGATGACTAATAATCAAACGTATCTTTATTTACAAAATGTGGTTGTGTTACCTATAATTAGAGCGTGGTCAAGGTTAATTATTAGTCATCATAATAAAATACTCTAGTGAAAGTGGTTAAGCTAGCAAGGCCTATGATATAGTCCCTCCCTCCCGAATTAGATGTTACTGTCACCATTAGTCTATTATGGTTTCTCGATAACTTTTGTTTGTAACTTTGTGTATATTTTCATTGATAATTCGATTAAATAAAATATTCTTGTCAAATCTTGTTTTATAGAGTTTTTATGTACTTTTAAATGGTGTAATTTATATTTTTTTATTTCCATACTAACTTGTACTACCTCCGTTTCTCAAAAGAGTTCCTCTTTTGACTTTGGGGGAAAATAAAGAAGTGTCAAATTGTAGTTGACTTTCCAATTTTGCTCTTGATGTGATGGGTAAAAGTAAGATGTGATAGTTTAGTTGTTAGTGAAAAAGTATGATGTGATAGGTAGGGTATGAAAAAGTAGGGGTAAAAGTGGTTTTTTTATAGAAAAGGGAAGTGTTTTAAGAAAAACAAAAAAAATGAAAGAGGAAGGGTTTTAAGAAACGGAGGGAGTAAATAAAACTGTTTTAAAAATGATAAAATTTTATAAGTCGTTTGGAGTGTGGTATCCAATATGGGACGGATGGAGTATAGAAATTAAACCTAAAGGTCAATGCATGGATTAATTAATTAGGATTATTGGGAGAAATTTAAAACTTTTGATTGATTTTTTAGTGCATTTTTTTGTTGAGGTTTTTTATTGCACTTTTGACTGATTATGATTTTTGGAAAATACTAGTACATCTAGATGTAGGGATTGAGCCTCAATAACAAATCTGAAGATGAAAGTTACTGGTAGAGGCTAATTTACAATTTCGATCCTGTAAGTGGACTCTTTTGTCATAAGAAGTCTTAGTTTTGAAATACTTACATGTGAAATTTGCACTAAATAGGACTAAAACATAATGACTTTCCTAACATAGAACTTAAACTTTTTTATTCCCTAAATAGGACTTAGTAATGACCTAGTGGGAGGAATAATGTCCAGTAATGATGGACATTTACTTGAATAATGACTACTTCATAATGACCAAAGATCCTACATTGGAAAATAAAAACATATGGTCCTATATTGGGAAAGGCATTATGTTTTAGTTCTATTTAAGTAAATTTCTCTATTTACATTTTGTCTTTTTTATACCAAAATGGGAAAAAAATTAAAATAAGAGTAAAGCATTAAGAAAATACGAAAATAGATATATTTTATCTTCAAAATAGAAGTTACAATGTCAATAATATCAACATACAATATCAAAAAACATTGTAGAATATTAATAAAGAGTGTCAAATTACCACAATGCATTGATGTAGTAGTCTTATTTTAGAGATAAAAATCATTGAAGTCTTATTTTGAGCATATGGTCTATATATGTATTAGTCCTAGCATATGGTAGATTTCTTATTTGTATATATACATATGCAGGAACTAGAGGAGGATCAAAGGGGGGACGCGGTGAAGAGCATGGTGTACGAGGCGAGCGCGAGGATAAGAGACCCGGTGTACGGTTCCGCGGGGGCCATATGCCAACTCCAGAAGCAGATCAGTGAGCTCCAAGCCGAGTTGGCCAAGGCGCGCGCCGATGTCTTGAACCTCCATTGCCAAAACTCAAACCTGAAGACCCTAATCTGCATGCAAATGTCATCTTCGTCCTCCTCGTCTTCCCCACAGGAACAATCCACAATGGCATCGCCCTACGATGTCGTCAACAGCTTCCTCCTTGATGATTGCAGCTTTTCATCAGTCCTGCTTGAGAGCAACCCAATGCGCGCGTTAGAAGAAGATATGTAATCTAAGATAATCAATCATATAGTATTAAAGAATTCCCTATATATATATGACTACCTCTCTACAAATAGAGATGAGTGTAGCTAGAATAAACCGATCGAGAAGCCCTATATACATATGGCTACCTCTCTAATAGATGAGCATGAGATACTCTTGGAGTCTGGTTTCATGGGTCTCCAATTCTTGTTCATTCTCGATATAGACACAATTGCTATGTAACTTGCACCTTGTTATATAAGTTTGAAGATCATGTACCATATGTTTTGTAGCTTGAGGTAATTCTAAGAACCCTTGCTTTTAAGTATATATCTACAAACAAAGTGTGTCAATAGTAGTCACAAATTGCGATCGAGGAAGAGTAACGTTTGTGGCTGATATGAAATATATTGTCTTGTCTTTGGTATTCCATAAATAATTAATAGCAACAATTTTCGTGTCGTGTAAATTGTTCTTCAAACACTTCTCTTATGATATATACCTGATACAAAGAATCCAAAAAGAGCCAACAGGTAACCGTTTTCATTTTTTTTGTTGTAAATCAGCTTGTCTCATTGATTCAACTATACAGTGAGAATTTTGTTTTCCCCACTTTCTGGCATTGTTCGAATTCGTTTTCCAACGAGACCAGTTCTATCTCGTACCCCTCACTGAATGCTATCTTATTGACTACATTAACCGACAAGTTTTTCAAAACAGTCCCTTTTCCATCTCTGCTGCCTGAAATTCCACAGCAGCATTTAAATGCTTTGATGGGATGATAAAAGACGCTGAAATCAGTCCCATAATCCTGAGATTGTAACACATTGTTTTACAAAAAAGCCTGCGGAACCGAGATTAATAATCTCAGAATGCTTTTGAAGGATTGGCCTAATCACAATAAATAGAATATTTCTAAAACTGAAAAAAAGGGGTCTGAAATGGTATACGGTCACATAATATGTTATAACTTCGATTTTGTTTTAAAAAAATCTCAAATATATGATTATATATAAAAGACCAAAATCTCTCATTTTATGATACGCGCTTAAATAGGGTGGTCATTATGTAAGGAGCACCTATCGTTTATCTACATTTCCATAAAATGATGCATCCAACGAAAGAGCATCTTCATCCTTGAGAACTCACTCTGCACCCCAATCTGCATCTAATAGGACAGGATACGTGTGTGTTTGGTTCCCACCTCTTTGTTCATTCTGCTTGTTGGAGTTCCCGCACCGGCGTAAGCTTTTGGGTTAGAATAGTGGATCCCGACTTTATATGCAAGTGGTTAATTTTATCCGACACTCCACCCGTTGTTCTCGGCCCACCGGAATTTTAACACTGCTCATACCACTCAATGTGGGTTAAGATCTAGGAAACAAACTCGCACACAAATGCATCTTTTGGCGATGTACTCCTCGAGTGCTCGAACGCCGTGACCTTTCACTTGCTAAGAACACATGAGCTAAATCTAAAAGACACCTAAGAACACCTTCAACACCTAAGTCTAAAGGTTCTTTTGTATAAAGGGTTTTGAGATTTTATTTTTAAAAAAAATCAGAAATTAACATATTATGTGATTATATAGCATTTCAATCAGCTTTTATTCGTGTCCAGAAACATTCTACTTGGGCATTACTTCTTGAGATATATAGACTATGAAGTTGTTCTCTTCGTCTCATCTAATTAGTTTTGATCTGATTCGGTCTAATTTGATCTGATTCCAATAAAAAATATGTAGCGAAGATTTGCAGAGGAGGTTTCTTATAAGGTATCCTCAAAAATCAAAGTATGATGAAACATCTGACCTGCAATTTCCCATATTATTCCTCGCTGCACTTTCTCCGGCATTCTTCGATGAACATCCTTAATTACTAGGTAATCCTTGCATTCTTTGATGAACACCAATGTTTCCCTTTCAACTTCTTACAGGGTTCTACCCCACCCACCATTTTCATTGTCTGGATGCTAGCAATTCAATGAGGGAATTAGAGAACTATGAACAATCCAAGGGAATAATAGTATAATACAATAAAGATCTCCAAGTATAAATTGAGAACAAATTAAAAAGACGAACAGGGGAACCTTGTTTTCGGCTGCTTCAAATATTGCATCTGGCAAAGAGTGCGATAAGGGTTCCTTTTGAATTGCGAAGAACTCCGTGCTTCACAACCGCAAAGAAAGTGCAAAGGGAGCAAAATACTCCGTAATACTCCGAGTATGGCAAAAGTTTACAAAGTATACTTGTTTTAGACCAAATCAATTCTGTTTTTAGCCACATTTTTTAAGGCCTCTGTGAGAATATCTTTAGAGAATAATGTTTTGGATAAAATTTTAATTTTGTAGATTATTTTGAAAATATTTACGTTAGGCGTCGACCGTAAATAGCATTTTTCAAAATACTAAAACTATTCGCTGACGCTATAGCAGGGGGTTTCTATATTTAGTCATCTGTTATCAAATATTACCCCGTAGTCCTTTTTTAAGGGCGCCTTTCCACAAATGGTCCTTTTTTTGATATTTTGCCATGTTGGTGTTAATTTAAAGGATAAAAGTATAATTTGACATCAACATTATGTCTAGTGACGTGTTCTGATATTAGTTAAGCGGATAACACAAAAATAATGACTATGATTGTGGGCTAGGATTCCAACGAAAGACCACATTTGTAGACTATGGTTGTAGTAGAAAGCGACTATAATTCACAAACGACGCAAACGGAACAGCCTTTGGAATTGTGTATGACAAAAAAGATATATTATCATTGTGAAATTACACTTTTAGCCTTCAAATTAACACCAACATGATAGAAGATCAAAAAAGAACTATTTGTGGAAAGATACCCATAAAGAAAGGACCACTAGGGTAATATTTGATAATAGAGGACTAAATAGGGAAACCCCCTGTTATAAAGGACCAATTATGGAATTTACTCATCCTTAATCGTCATATAAAAGTAATATCAATTAATTTTGGAATATCATACTCCTTGTTTTTTAAGCCATTTGTTATGATGGGTTGTACCCGGTACATGCAGGGTTCCGATTTCGAAATCAAATGTTCCTATACTCATTTTAGGAGAACCGAAACCTGTACATGAGGCGGTTCCGGTTCCTTTCTTGATTCTGAATATTTTTTATATAAACAAATTGGAATAAGCATAAAACACAAAAACACAAATATGAAAAGAAAGTAAATGAATTTAACTATGTGAATAGTACGGAGTAACAATCAATTAAATTTGGAACGAAGGGGTATAATAGTAAGAAGTAGTACAAATGCCAATATACAAGCCATGATGCACATTTAAAGTCATATTTTGATAATAAAAACATACTCTGTATCATTCTCATTTAAAGATAAGAATTATATTTTGATTCCATTATGAATAATTTTTAAATAAGTATTTATCAATATTGAGTATGAGTTTTTCGCACAAAAATCAACAACTTCATAACAAAAATAAATGTAGTTCTACAATTTCCGTAAGAAATCATCATTTAAGTTAAATACACAAATACTTTGTATCTTGCTAAGAAGCATATATTTTTTAAAAAAGAAGAAACACATTGACACCAACGTTGATATTATATGCTAATTTATGTATATACTTGCATTTATCGTCTGTGAACTTTGTAAATTTACCGGTGTTCAGAGACGATTGTCATTTGTGTGACGGTGTCATCTATGATGTTATTATCTTGATATTATCCCAATTATTTGTTGTATGATAGTGACAAATTCTTAGGATTACCCTACCATTTTTTTTAAAACACATTTTGGGGAGTACTTATTTTTCTTCCTCCAAATGGCAAGACCACCCGCAGAAAAAAGAGTGGTAGAAAATCTCACGAGGAAAAAACGGTCTCCTCTAAGACCTCTCTCAACCATTTGCAGACTCTTTTCCCACTCTCGCCTCCGTATACCATTATTGATGCCAATCCCTTAGCCGTCGTCCGATGGTCTCCGTCGTCGCGGGCGGTGTAGATATGAATCCTACCAACCCGACGCCGGTGGATTCTACCCTCACCGGCTCCGCCGTCACCTTCCAGCCTCCACCCAGCCACCGCATTCTCGAGATCTGCCTCATCTCCGCCCGAGACCTCTCCCCCGTCTCCAAGCCCCTCCGCACTTACGCCCTCATCTGGATCCACCCCAACCGGAAGCGATCCACCGGAATCGACCAAGACGGCCACACCAGCCCCGCCTGGAACGACAAATTCTCGTTTCGCGTCAACGACGACTTCCTCTGCTCCGATCATTCCGCCGTCCATGTCGAGATCTACACCTCGTCCTGGTTCCGCGACGCCCTCGTCGGCACCGTCCGCGTCGCGATGAGCAATCTCATCTCTCCCATGGCCGTCAATGGCCAGAGATTTGTCGCTCTCCAGGTTCGCCGCCCGTCCGGGAATCATCAGGGAATTCTGAATTTGGCTGTTTCCCTGATTAACCCTATGATCTTCAGCAATTCCAATCGGGGGGATGTGTTAGACCTAAAAACGAAAAGGATAGGGTTGAGCGTGCCGGATTGCGACGACGTAGACGAAGATGAAGACGAGGAGAAACAGAAATTGAACGCCAAAATCCAACAATGGCGAGCGATGAGCGAAGGCCTGTCAGATGTCAACGTAGATTTCCCCGGCAAGCCGGGATCGATGGTTAACGGATCGGTGTGCAACGGGTCAATGGTCAACTACGGGTCGGAAGTTTGCTCCGACATCGGTCCGTCGGCTTCCATCGTGGCGGCGGAGATACTCAGGAAATCGCAGCTGTCGCCGGTTCCTCCGAAGGAACCGCCGCCGGCGAGAAGGGGGAAGGCGAGATGCGAGGACGGGGAGGAGAGCTTGATACTGGAGGACATGACGGCGGAGGAGGCGGCGGCGAAAGGGCTGAACACGGTGAGCGTGGAACGGTGGAGGACGGCGGGGCCGGGGAAAGCGGTTGCGAAGCCGGGAGGGCAGGAAAAGGACGGCGCCATCAAGTGCTTCGCGAACGCTTACGGGTTCGAGTTCACCATAGTTTGCGGGGCCGGAAACGGAAACGGTAACGGTAACGGGAGTAGAGTTACGAATAAGGCCAGTAATAAATCCAGAAAGAAGCCGGATTAAGTTCATTAATCGCAGCTAATTACACTAATTAAAATTTAATTACTCCGTATATATATTAATACTCTCTCTTTTAACACGTGATTTAGCGCAAGCCCAGTTGGGGAATGAGATTTTTGAGGGATTTAAGTTGCCATTATCATCACCATCATAATGTTATTGATGTTGTAACCTATTAGTCCAAGCTGTTCTTCTTTTGTGTAAAAATTTTGGTGTAATTTCTCCTCAAATTAGTACATTTTGTGTCTTTGTTTCGTTTTTTAATTCATTATTATGATTATTCTGATACGTTCAAAAAACATATATGAATCATGTATGTAATAAATACTCTCTCCGTCCACAAATAAACTTTACATTACGCGTTACGATGTTTGACTGACGTTATTTTCAAATCATTTTATATGAAAAATGGTATAGAATTGAAAAAAAAAATTACATATTAAAAAACTACTCCCTCCGTTTCTCAAAAGAGTTCCTCTTTTGACTTTAGGGAAAGATAAGGAAATGTTAAATTGTAGTTGACTTTTCAATTTTGCCCTTGATGTGATGGGTAAAAGTAAGATGTGATAGTTTAATTGTTAGTGAAAAAGTATGATGTGATAGGTAGGGTATGAAAAAGTAGGGGTAAAAGTGGTTTTTTAATATAAAAGGGAAGTGTTTTAAGAAAAACAAAAAAAAATGAAAGATGAAGGGTTTTAAGAAACGGAGGGAGTATATCAAAAGATCTACAAAACTAGAGGTGACATGACTATATTATTTTATCAAATGGGTGACGAAAATAGGGCAACAAAGTGATTAAAGTTTGACCATGTGAATAGTGAACGTAAAGTTTATTTGTGGACGGGGAGAGTATTATATGTTCATGCTCGTTTAATTTTTAATGTATCACCAAAATTATGATGATTAATTAAGAAAACATTTATCAGTGCTTTTAAATGTACGGAGCTATTTTTAACGTCTACTTTGAAGCGAATCAGTTTACATTGTGTTATGATTCTCAACTTTTTTAGAGATGAAAAAACATAAGTTCACAAATTATTTTGAATTGCTTTTAGATTATGTGGTTATATTCAATAGTTCTTGTTTCTATTAGGACGAGCACAATCCATCTCTTCTGGTCAGTTAGTTGGTGAAACTCATTCGACCGACGGGAAAAGTACGACCAATCTCGAACACCCTCTAAGAATGAATGAATAACCTATTCTCTTACTCCCTCCGTCCCACTCTTTTTGTCCACTTTCATTTTTGCACACCATCCAATGCACTTCTTTAATCCATTTTATCTTGTAATTTATATATTAAAAAATTATAAAAATTATATATTAATAATCTATATGTTAAGACAAATCAAACAAGATCACACATGACTATTTTTAGACTTACACATTGAAAGAATTTGATGAGTCAAAGTGCTTAGATGAACAGTTCCAAAAGTCAAAACTGGACAAAAAGAGTGGGACGGAAGTAGTAATTACTTTTTCTTCTTCTTTACGTGCTAAACACAATCAATGTTTATAAATTTTCAACGTGAAAATATTAACTATTGTAAATTGATTGTTTTACTAGGTGATTGTTTTACCACGCGATTGGTTAAAGAGACACCTAAAATGATATCAATTACTTACACACTAGTTGCATACGCCAATTTGTTTAGAGAATATAAGTTCTCTCGTTCGTAAAAATGATTATTCTTACCCTCCTAACCCTCTCCCTAAACCCCTCACCCTAGCCCACCCTTGCACCCTACCCTAGCCTCCCTCCCGCCACTGGCAGTATACTGCTTGGCAGTACTGCCACTCTGCCAGGGGCGGAAGGGGAATTGGGGTAGAAGGGTTAAGGGGAAGGTTATGAAAAGTAGAAACCATCATTTTTACGAATAGGGCATCGTAGATGTCTTAAACGAAATGGTGTAAGCAAATAACATCAGTAACATAAGTGTTATTTTAGACTTACTCTTATTTAAATCATAAGATTTAATTTTGCCTAACAATCTAGAAGGATATTTTTGGAACTATATGGCAGAAATTTTCAACTACCTTGGTCATGTTCTCACTAACTTAATTTTTCTTATTACTTTTTCTGATTGAAATCAGATCAGAAACAGCTTTAATCACGATTTCATTCAGATCAGATTAAAACTTGCTCCAATTAGATCAGAAGCATTTAGATTATGTAAAGAAAACATGACCTCCATACTAAAAGTTTTACTATCTTTGAAACTCCAACTTTTCACAGTGTTTAATGTAAAACTTTGACTATGAAAATTTTTATTTTATAAAAAGATACTCTATTTATTTCATAAGGAGTATTAACTAACTATCTCTAAACATTTTCTTGAACATTTTTCTTGTTACATTAAAAATTGATGAACGTAGACATAATGTATATTTATTTACGTTAATCCATTTTTTAATGTATCAAGAAATTGTTAATATCACACTAACTAAGTTCAAAATCAACTTATTAATATTAAAGTTATATCATGATTTTATATATTTTTTCATAATTTATAACCAGAATTGCAAAAAGTTGACTATAAAATCAAAATACTCTCTCCGTCCCTAAATATTTGTCACACTTCTATTACCGAGGTTGGCAGTGCACGCCACCGTATGTGAAGTGTTACACACGTTACTGCCTGAGACATGAGCTGACGATGAATTGGGTAGAGCAGTAGGTAAGACCTCAACGCATAATGGGAGGTATGACGTCTCATTTTGGTAAGACTTCAACTTCAGATAGAAGTGCAGTTCAGCATCATTAGTGACACCAATAGGAGGTGGACACAAGGGAACAATGTATGAGAGACGAATGTCATTTTGAGACCAATCCATTCGAATGCCTGCTTTAACAATGTCCATGAGGGATTTTAGAGAACATTCATTAGGGACGTCAATGACAGTGTCGTACTTCGAAGTGAAAGTTCCAAGAGTATCCCACGTTCCATCAACATGCACCAATACCTTGATATTCGAATCCATGTTTACAGAGCCTTGAACAGATAAAATGCAATGGTCAGATAGGTTGATGAAAATGTCAAGTAAAAAGATTAGGTAACTTTTTTTTAATTCAAAAGCGTCATAGTGAATGAGTACTTGAGCTTGTATTACTTAACGGACTCATTCACTGCCCGTTTCAAAGAATGCAAAGTGGAGTGGAAAACATTTTACCTAGAAAGTGTTTTTTTTCTTTTGAGATGCAAAAGAATAGTACCGATACCATTAGGAACTGTGTCCATTAGCCTTATAAATCAAGATGTCATTGCAATAAACCAAAAATTCATTAAAAATTGAAAAACACTAATTTTGAATCCACGCACTACACATTTAACGTCAAAAAGAGTATCAAAAATTCGAAATTGGGAATGGATTCAAAAGAAAATTAATCAAGAAATGAAGACTAACCTGAAGCCATGTGAGAGTCCCGGTTGATGCAGTGGTCGACAAAAGGTTCCGGCAAAACTCTGCGGCAATTAATTGGAATGATGTGCTTTTTATTGGAATTAGTTTGTAGAAATTGAACCCTAGAGTGTGTCCGGTAGTGCAGCCGGCGAAGACAACACCTGCGGAACTCTGGGATTGGAGGTGGCGAAATGATGTTCATCATCGTTGGTAAGCACCGTAATAGGAGAAGAGGTTGTAACGGTTGATCCCTCCTGAGTTTACGCAGGTGAAGGGGAAGTGCGCAAAAAGTTCTGTCCCTCAGATTGCGCAAGATGATGGATAAACCCCCAATTGCAAAAGGGTAATTTGGGGATATTAATCATGGCTAAAACGGTGGAGGTGCTATAGAAGTTTAAAATGGGATAGGAGTGCTAGATATGTATTTTCATTACTTAATGGTGCTATATTGGATGATTTCTATTTATTTTATTTACATACTAACATAGAAATAGAAAATAAAATTTACATATCAAAAAACTACATGAAAAGTTCTTCAAAATAAAATGTACTCCGTATTAAGAATATTCTATCAAATGGAAACGTAGAAATAAACAAAAGTTCCTGCGACTGCTGAAAAAGCAAATGTAACAAATATTTTGAAATAGAGAGAGTAAAAAAAAGAAAGTACTGAAGTTAGTACGGTGTACGATTTACTGTAATTTTGAAGCTTTCATTTTTTTTGGTTGTGTTGTTATTTGTTAGGAAAATGCTTGGTTCACAAATAAAATGGTCACAAACTTTACAAACTTACTATTTGTGAACTTCAATAAATAAAATTAAATAGTCTAAAATAATTTTAAAATGAAAATTTAAACAATGAGTTTAGTTTTGAAGTTTGAAAGTATAAGCCTTTCTCGATTCCATCGATCGATCGATAATCTTCACAGTCCACACAGGTATGGCTCTTTACATCTGCTTCTGCACTTCATCCCTTCCGACGAGAACACCCAATCACCCACTGGACCATCTTTGCTCATGATAATTCGCAAACCGTTCCATTTCCTTGTGAAATCTAGCGAGTATTATTTTGATTCATGAACTCAAGAGTAGTGTGAATGTTCGCTTGTCGCGATTTTCTGATCTGTGTTGTTATATTGGAGAAATTTACTGGTTCAAGTATTCGTTTCTGAAAATTTTCTGTGCCGATTTTACATACGGAGTAGGTTTTCATTTCTTCAAATGTTAGCATTGGTATTAGTATTGCCATGGATAAATCCTGATCACCGAAAGAAGCAGGAAATTTGAAGGGATTTGGACTGGAGTTGTATTTGATAATAGAATGGTAATGCTTCACAAACATGTTGATTTGCATCTAATCTTTTTCTACATTGTTGCATCACATAATTGAAATTGAGGACTCCTCTGGTTTGCAGAATTATATACTTGGAGCTTTTAAGCCAGCATGCCACATCGTAATCACATTTACTGATGGAAAGTCACGGAAGCAGGTGCGTTTACATTTTCAGCCAAGTCAAATAGTGAAGCATGAGTTGTGTGTGTGTGTGTGTGTGTGTGTCCACCAAGACAATATATCGGAAATCTGTAAGATTGGAATGAATTTCATGCAATTATAGGCGATTTGAAGGCTGTAATAAGAGTCATTTTCCAATTCCTAAATGCCCAAAAATGAGCTTTCTAGTTCTTGTTAGTTGACTGTGATGCACATCGTATGGGTGCATGCTGCTCTTTTTTCATTTCATTTTTATACTTTCTCAGGTCCAATTGAAGAAGGAAAATGGACAAACAATTATGGTTCCACTTTTTCATAGTCAAGAAAATATTGCTGGGAAGGTATTCTAGAGTATGTCACCCCTCCAATTTCTGTTTCACTTACCTCAAACATTATTTGGAACTTATTTGAGATTATAATTTCTGATGTTCTCTTAGATATCGATTGAGCCAATATCAGGGAAGAAGCTTGAACACAATGGGATCAAAGTTGAGCTGCTTGGTCAAATAGGTTGGGCCTCACCCATATATAAAGTACTCCGTACTTCATAGTTTATACTTATACAACTATACATGTGCAGTCGAGGCCAAACAGCTGTTCTACTTTATCATTTCTTGATTCAATAGTAGATTTTCTCCTTCTACCCTTATATTAAGCATAGTTTATAAATTTCTTTTCTTTATTGTTTTCAGAAATATACTCCGATAAAGGGAACTTCTATGACTTTACCTCACTGGGTGAGTAGGTTATTTCCACTGCTTTATGATCTGGTTTTTCTGTACCATCAGTGTATACATCTTGCTTTATTTCTTAGTTGTTATCCATATGGCATTTTTCTATTGGTTTTAATAGCTGTTTCTCATCACCATTTTAGCACATTGATTATCATTTCATAGAGTCAGATATGCTAATAAGTAGAAATCATTTTTTCTTCTTTAATGTCTGATTGCTTCCTTGTAGTTCGGGAGCTAGATGTTCCTGGTGAATTATATGAAAGGAAAACTTACCCATTCGAGTTTTCAACTGTTGAAATGCCGTATGAATCATACAATGGGGCAAATGTTCGTCTAAGGTACATTTTCATTTCACGTATATAGACATTTATCTTTTGCCCATGGCTTTTCTCTCTTTCTCTTTCTACAGATGCATGTACATGCACAATATATGATCACCTCCAGGCTTTACAAAAGGGGAAGTGACATTTGGGCAAGGGGTCATGTGTCAAGGGTTTGAACATCACTAGGACCAATCTTAGTGAGGCTTAATTGTTTGCCATCCAATTTAGAAGTTGTTGGTTCTCTTGTAAACTACTACATATTAACTTACACATGCATAGCTCTTAAATTTACTTTAAATAACAGAAATCAGGAGAAAGAAAAAATGGGCACATAGATGCTATATGATAAATTTTTAGCAAACCTATTTTTGGAATTTAACTTTCTGATGGTTTAGGTATGTTCTCAAAGTGACAATGAGTCGAAGCTATGCTGGCAGCATCCTAGAATACCAGGACTTTGTGGTAATATATGCTCTCTATTTATTCTTATTGCTTCAGTTTGATAACTTCAAGCTTAGTGCTTTAACTCTTTTTTTTAATCCCCTTTGTTTTACACCCTACATAATTGGTGGTTGATGTTTAAATATTTTGACATCTATGACTCAGGTGCGCAACTATCACCCACCTCCACCAATAAACAATAGTATTAAGGTATGGAGTACCATTCCTATAAAAACTATAGGAAGTCTATATTTATCGGTTGAATCACTGGGCTCATGAGTTGGTCTCTTTTTGTCCTAGCTCTTTGAGATTCTAAAAGTGTATGCTTCTAAATGATCTAAATTCTTATAGTTATATATGTTTAGTCTGTTTCCAGAAGTGGTTTAACTTGAGAGCTCTTTTTGTAGTCCTTAGAGTCATCTTTAGTTCTTTATCATTATCGCCCTAAACATTTGATTAAATCATTAAAACATGCCAAACACCTGTTCATTTTGTCCAATTGCACTTTTAACCAAAACACTCCTGTTAAACAGGAGTCAACGAGTCAACTCAAACACAGATTTTCCATGTCTAGGTCAATAGAGTAAACTAAGCTTTATTCATCCTTCATGCGAATCTTGTAGATGGAAGTTGGAATAGAAGATTGTCTTCATATTGAGTTTGAGTACAATAAGAGCAAGTGAGTCAAGTTTACTATGTGGTTTCCTAAAAAGACTTTTGTACAATAATTTATACGGAGTAGCATTTGTGCTCAAAACTTATATTGTCAACAAACACAGGTATCATTTGAAAGATGTTATTATTGGCAAAATATATTTCCTTCTTGTGCGTATCAAGATTAAAAATATGGATCTTGAGATCAGACGTAGAGAATCTACGGGTTCAGGGGTAAATACACATGTGGAGACAGAGACCCTTGCAAAGTTTGAGTTGATGGATGGTGCTCCTGTAAGAGGTATACATATATGAATCTATTTCTTTTCCTCAAGTTTCATGGGATTATTAGAATGCATAATAATTTTTTTATCCTTGAATTTAGGAGCTTTGGTCGTATAGAATTATCAATTCTTTGGCCATTGGTTGGTCCAAAAGAGGCTATGCGATGAGAGGATAAAAGAGGGAAGGAGATGGGAGGAAAATTAATGAGGTTAAAAAAATAATGTTTGATTAATGAGTGAGCGGAGAGGAGAGGAAATATTGTTTTGGAGAAATATGTAACAATGTTATACTCCCTCTATCTCATAAAAAGAATCCGCTGCCTAAACTGATTTTTGGCACAGCAAAAGAGTCCAATATTAATATAAGAAACTGATTTTGCTCATATTCAATGTTTTTTTATCAAATAAAGTGCTCCAATAAAATTGGATGGGTTAAACTTAGTCAAACCACCAAATAAAAGAAATAAATACCCAAAGTTGTCCCAACCAAAACAAATGTTTAAGTCTCTCATGATGATGATGATGATCATCATCATCATCACCATCATCATCCCCCACATGTGAACTTGGTAGGCTGTTGTTGTATGTTTACCATTGGTAATAAATTTGTGTGTGCTGGCTTTTGCTTTCTCTCAGGGGAATCAATACCAATCAGACTCTTCCTGAGCCCATATGAACTGACACCCACATATCGAAACACCAACAATAAGTTCAATGTGAAGTACTATTTGAACCTTGTTCTTGTTGACGAAGAAGACCGGCGTTATTTCAAGCAACAGGAAATCACATTGTACCGCCTCGCCGAGTCATCCTGATCTTCACCCACACCTTGTTACTTCTCTTGCATTGCGCGAGATGGTCAGATAACTTTCAGTTTCTACAGACAAACTGGGACAAGTATTACAGAGTACTACATTGGATCATACTAGGGGCACCCCATGAATGTTGGGATGACTTTAGCATGAGAAGGTTGGTGTAAAAGTTGGGGTGTCTTTAACAGTTTTCTACTATATTTATTGTTTGTGGGAAAAATCTTATTGATTGTTGTTCCATCACACTTTTCTTTTATGCTCATCCATAAGACCATAACTAAGAATCATGGAAAGAGGAAAGTGTTTGGTGGACTTGAATTTGACACTATTAGATGATGAGTTGGGAACTCGGGTCCCGATTTGATTGCACTATCTTGAGTTTGTATAGATCATGTGTGGTCAAAGAACCCCTTAAAGGGGCATTATGCGCCATCTGACAGCTATCATCAAGAGATTCTATGGCTTAAAAATGGTGTAGCCCTGTAGTCATAAACTCACTAATTACGTAATTATTAATATTTTTATTTTTTAATTTAATTAAATGTGAGAGATAGCTGTTTAAACTTTAAAGATATGATTAGAATGGAGTAAACTTTTTTCACCTAAGATTATTTTTTAACAGCGAGTCTTCAAAGTCAAAATTAACTTGGAGGGTTCAATTGTAGGGGGTGGGAGGGGGGGGAGGTGTTAGGTGGGGGTTAGAGGGATAAGAACCATTAACTTTACGAACAGCGCACCGTAGCGTTCCTGAGTCATCCCATGATATGAGGTTCTAATGTCATGGGAATCCCTTCGATCTATATATTGTCCCATCAAAACAGAATATTGTCGTTTGTTTGATTATTTTTGGTATGCACTTGATGAAAAAATTAAAACAAGCCTCATTGCTTTCCTTAATACTCCATACTACACAGGTGACAATAATGGCGCACATTGTTAGTCTCTGAGTATTTGTCTACTTTTGACTTTTTTAGTCAAAAATTTTAAATTTTAATCTCAAATTAAATAAAAATGATATTAGATGTTGATACAAAAATCGTTTAATTAGATTTTTTATATCAAATATTTTTAAAATATTATTTTTTCTAATTAATATAAAATATATATTTTATAAGTCAAAGGTTGAAAGTGATTAATTGAAAAAAGTCAAAACTGAACCAATACTCAGAGACGGAGGTAGTAGAAGCTAAAGCCATAGTAGAAGAGAGTTTGGATGCTTTTATGATATAACTAATGCTGCATAAAACTCAATTATTTACTTATATAATGCTTTTTTTTTTAAATAATGAAACTCAAGCCAAAAGTCATCTACTGTGTTGAAGTGTTTTCACTCTTTACATAGTACTCCATTTGAAGCAAAAAAGAAATGGTGTAGACCTCCATCCAAATGAATCACATTTACATTTCAGAGCACAATTGCCTCTTTTTTTTTACTATCATGTCTACAAGGAAAACAAAAGGGGAGAGATAAGAGCAATGTTGTTGCGGGGCGTGGCCTGCGATAAAATTGGCCATCGACATGTACATATCTCATTTCTATCAACAATTTTTTTTCGTCTTACGTAGTACGTATTTTTTTTTTTTTGAAAAAGCGAAAACAAAACCTAAGAGCCGATAAGAAAAGCATGTATCTCAGACCAGCCAGATGCAGTGTAAAGAATGCCGGACAGCCCCTTCCAAGGGTCACCACCACCCTCTGCAGGGTATGCCTTCTGCTTCTCAACCACGCCGGGAAACAGTGGGACGAATTTGACCCCGAAATGGTTCCCAACCCTTCTTAAGCTCGAGCTCGAACCCACCACGATTCCCACATCAGCTTCAAGCAAGCAAAGCAAGTCCCCTACCGAATCCCCAATGTAAACCGTCAGTCTCTTCTTCTTCTTCTTCCTGTCACCCCCATCACCACCGCAGCTCTGTTGCAGGATTTCACTGAAAGCTTGAACCTTGTCAATGGGGGACTCCATCTTCTTCACAATCTCACCCGTGCACAAAGATTCCTCATACCTGAACTCATTTGCATGCACTTTCATATGATCACTTAAACCCCCTAGCAGTAGAGTTGACATAGATGGCAAGACAACGGTTTTAGTCAGACCAACCTTCTCAAACAGAATAGTTATTCCGTACCGTATAAACATTTCAATCACCCAAACAGACTAAGAAAAGATGTAAAATAGGATTTCCTAGATGAAACTTTAACACTATGGTTCAAGGAATTTGGAAGGAAAAGAAAAGAAAATGGTTTTCCTTCAGTTGCTTCACCAAAATGGGAAGAATTTGGTTTTTCATCCTCTTAGTTCATTTTGCCAAACAAGAAAAAGGTTTTTTTTCTCATTTTCTTTTTCCTTTCCCTCTCAAATTCATTGAACCAAACATAGTGTAAGTTCTTTACCCTTGGAACTGCTTAAATATTAGCCGATTCAGAGGAAACCAAATAAACTCCTACCACATACCCGATGAGAAGGTAGATCTAATGAGGTCACCACACCAGCAATAGGAGAGCACATGAACATCTGCATTCAGATTTTTCTTCCTTAGCAACAGAGTTTGAAAGAAATTGATACAACCATCCTGGAGCATCAACCGTTCCCCAGCTCGTTTTATGTCTTCCAGATTAAGACCCTTAAGCACTCCAGATTCAATCACCCTTTGATTTTCTACTTTCTCAAATTCCGAGAGTTTCTCGAGTACTTTTCGCAAACCTTCATAGTTAAACTTCTCAGCTGCAAATGAGAAAAATCATATATCAGCTAATTGCACGGTGGGGGCGAGGCCATCAATTACCAATCACAAGCAATTAGATTAAAAGGAGCCATAAATAACCTTTTTCGGAGACCAGCATGCTCTCTATACACTGCTCATAGTCTTCTGTGTAGTTCTTGGAGAGAACTCCCCAAGTGTTTCTAAGATCAGCCGATGTCATACGGGCAATTTGATTTGCTGTTTGGCTTTGATCAGATTTTGGAGCTGTTACAATTGCAATTTCAGCCAAGATGGCAGATGAGTCTATGGTAGTGCACGTCAAATCAAAATCAGAAAATATCATCAGGTGGCGCTTTTCTAGATCATTGGGCTCTCCATAGAGGGGTACCACACATTTCTGTTCAAGCGGCTGAGCTAAGAAAAAGTCAATCTCACATTTAATTCCTTGATAATAAAGTTTTTCAATGACATCGAGCTCTTCCCCGGTCAAAGAAACGCTTAACTTGTCCAGCAACTCCTCTGTTTGCAATGCAAATGCCTATATAAACAAATATAGATGAGATTTGGAACCTTTATGGTAAAATTAATGCCCCCTCTTGTTTACTTGATGTTCTAGCATTTTCATTTGCCTTTATTTAGTTGATGTTTTAAGAGTATTTAATGAAAAGGAGAAGCATTTGCTTTAATTATCAGTGGATATCCAACATCATTCTTGCACTGACTATTTGAAACTCCCAATGGATGCATTAACTATGTAAAACTTTTTTATAATGCCAAGTCTACAAAAGAGGGATCCGTAAATTTATAAACATAAATCTTCCTTAATTCTAGTGATATATCCTAAATCATCAAGTAATGAAAAAGAGAGGGTAATAATTAGGTTCAAAGAAGAACATGGTAATGACTGAACCTGGAAACTATCTGAGGAGTAGCTTTCAATCCACTTCTTGTAGGGATGATTACTTTCACCATCAATGAAAATCTGCAGCTCCTTACCAATGTAGGCATAAAGGCTCATGCAAGGAGTCATGGCACCAAGGGTGTAAGCAGACAACTTGGTTTTCTCAAAGGGAGTCACAAGTTTGCCAGAAGCTTTGGCACCTTCAATCTTTCCCGATGCTGTAGCCAATAGGAAATCTATGCACTTAGTAGTTGCTGGATTCAAAGTAGCATCTTTCACGGGGTCAATCCCCCATTCCTGTCCATTTCAATCACAAACCGGTAAATTCGGAAAATCCAAATATTTATTGAACTGATCTAGCATCTGAAAGCATATGAAGAAACAGAATGACTCTTTTACCTCGGCGAAAGAATCATGCATTTTGAGCTTGTTAAGGGTAACCTTCTTCAACTCATTAATCCCAATCTTTGCGTCATCATCCTCTGCACAATCTTCTGCAACTTCAAACCTGCAATACATGATAGTCAATTATTTATTGCCCTTTAGGTATTTGCAACTTACAATGGCTTTCTATAAACCAAAGAAAATACAAAAACAAGTACTCCGTATTATGAATATTAAAGAAATGAACTCTTTCGTGATATCATCTTCCAGACTAACAATCTTAACATTTTGAATCAAGAAATGAAATAGGCATTCTCTTAAACAAATGAGCATTAAACCAGAGGCAGAAGAACTTCCCAATGACTTGCAGAAAAACTATGAAATCCATGAACATACCAGTCCACAATTCTTTCCAGATAAATAAGAATACTATGTACAAAAGAATGAAGAACAGCGAATACATAACCTAAAGGAAAAAAAGAAAAGGAAAAACCATAGATAAAGCAAAGAAAGATAAACAATAGATTAAAGTAGAATCCAAACAGGAACAAGATATAGCAGTTGCTTTTCTTTTTCCAAATAAAGAAAAAAAAGAAGAATAAGAAATTACGCTTGAGCGAAGGGTTTGAGGAAATGAGCGTCCTGTGCGACGCAATGCCTAAACGTCTCGAGCTTGAGATTTCCAGAAGCCAGAGAAACGATGAAGGGAGTGAAGATTGCGAACGCTGCCTCCTTCTTGAACTTGATCCAGCACTTCCTCGCGATGCCGACCACTTCATTCAACTCCCTCGGGAGTAGTTTCGGATTCCCGACCGCAGCCGGTTTCAAACTCGCCGACGCCATTTCAGAAGAACAGTTGGCGGTTGCGGAGTCACTGCCGCCGCCGCCGCCACTAGCAGAGGCGGCCGATGATCGGCGGAGATAAGGGTAAAATGGGTGCCGGAGAACTCGTTGGGGATTCAATCTAAGAAATCGGGACGACAAGACAGAGAGGCGCATCTAGAAATCCGACTGCTTTTTGAATATATACTGAAAATCCGGGTGATTCAAGTTCGAGGGTTTTCCTCTTTTTAAAAAATAAATAAATAAATGGGGATTTTTTTTATTATTCATTCATTACTGAATTACTCGTGTAATAATTGAGGTTAAAACCCAAGAATTGGAATAGAAATGCATTCTGGAGAGAAATCCATACAGGAAGAAGAAGAAAGGTGCTAAATTTGATATCCCATTTTTGTAGGGGAGGAACTTATGATTTTCTTTTTTACATTTTCCATTTCTCTCTTTTTACCTTTTTCTCTTTGCAATCAATAGGGGTGAGCATGGTACGGTATGGTACGGTATTTGGCTCGTACCGATACCGTACCAAATATTTCGGTTCGGTATGGGATTTTGCTCTGTACCGATCCCGATCCCGAAATATCGGTTCGGTATGGTTCGGGATAGTTCGGTATCGGTATCGGTACAAATCGGGATAAATATACATACCTACTTTACACGTTAATATTTAACAATACCCTTTTATTTTTGAAAATTAAAAGTGAATTTAAATAAAAAAAAATATGAAAAATTTAAAAAAATGAATATTTAAATGCAAGAGATGCGTATCAAAACTTAGTTTATATTTCACAAACNCATACACAAATATTAAAACTCAAATAAAAGTATAATTTACACATAATAGAATTTGAACCAAATTTTTTTAAAAATTATTATTTAGTGAAAGAATATATAAAAATATTACTCCGGAGTATCATTTTTATAATATTCTAGTATATATGTTCGGTACGGGATTTTCGGTATGGGACGTCACCTCGTACCGTTCCCGAATACCGTACCGGCCATTCGGTTCGGTACGGTTCGGTTTCTTCTCGGTATTTTTTCGGTTTGGTATTTTTCGGTTCGGTATTCTCGATTTTTTCGGGAAATTTCGGTATCGGTTCGGTACTTGCTCACCCCTAGCAATCAATCTAGTATGTGAAGTGAAGCGTTCTCTATTTAATTAAATTTGGTAGGGCAATAACAACAAAAATTGGCCTAAACATAATACTCCATCAATTTCCACAAAAAGTTACATTTATTATTTACAATGTCAAACTATATATTCCGTATCTATTTCTTTTGGATAAAGTTATTTGTATTTCAAGAATTTATACTCTATTTGTACACCACAGGTGTACACCTACATTTTGTATTGATATAATGTTAATTTTTGTTAACGCATTAATACTTTATGTCAATGTAAATTTTTGTTAACGCACTAACATTTTGTATCAGTCTGAACTATCAAAATGTTGGTTTGTACCTCTGGTATAAGTTTGGAGTACAAATTTTGGTGTAAGTGTAGCATGATTGATTTCTTTTACCTATTTTTATTGACTATTGAAATCAGGTTAAAAATAGTCTTAAAATCAGAACATCAAGAATGACAAGACGAAAATAAAATGCCACACGGTGACATGGAACATTTTAACCAATAAAAAATAGTCCAGTCAGCGTGTGACAAGTGAATGGAGTGGCAAGTCCTACAATGGCAAGTCATTATTTTTTATCACTTTTTTACATTTTTTTATGTTTTTTAAACATAAAAAAATATTTTTTTATTTATTTTATTATAAAATTAGTCTACTTTCTTGTATATTTTTTTTTCATAAAATATTTTTAAAAAAAATATTTTAAAAAAATAAAAAAAGAAAGACAAAGTGCCACACTCATTAGCATTTTGGCCTTGTCATGTCATGATATGAGTGGAAGAAGATGATGTGACAGTGCTAAGAAGAGGATGCCCAGTGCAAGGACATGCTCTCAAATCTCAAATGTATAATCGCAAGATCAAATTCTTCTTAGAGAGTACTCAAATAGTCTCAATCTGTGACAGAAATTGAGATAGTGCCGTCGTCGTTGGCAAATGATGACACTTCTACTCCATGGGTTCTACAACCCCTGCCTATCAATTCCCCTGTCCTCTCGCTGCCATTTCTAATCTCAATCGGACCTCTTCCATCTGCTTCTGCGCCAGGCATGACGGGCGTGACGGCGGCGGCGGCGGCGGATCCAGATGGGAGAGCAGGGCTCGGAATCGCCAGCATAGATTCGGATTTGCCGAGGAGTTCCGAGCTAGCGGCCGCGAAAGAGATGCGGGATTCGGCTCAGGCGACGCCGCCAATAAGAGGAATTGGTGGTCCGATGATGAACCCTCCGGCGACTACGGATTCGGAGACGACGATGAAGATTTCGACAGGTTTGGGGCATCAGAGGGCTCAATTGGGTTCTCGTGGATATTCAAGGTAATTACAAGCATTAGCATTTGAAGTTTTGTTTCTCATATCCCTAATTTGGCTTCTATGTTTCAATCAAT